TGTTGACCACTGAAAGAGTACAAGCAAAATACTCGTTCACAGACTCTCCTATCTTCATGTTCAGCATCTCAAACTCCTTTTGGAAGGCTTGTCATTGTGCCCTCTGCACTCGTGTTGTCCCTTGATATTTTGGTTAGTATGAAAATTGTATTGACATTTCCTAGACTCTAGCATAGGTTGGGAATTAGTGTATGAATATCTTTTACTAGAAGTTTTGGCGCAACACATTCAATCCTAGATTTTCGAAGTATGACTTGATCGATATGAGGAACTTGATTTCAGGTAAATCATGACATAATCATGCATTCATTATAGGATTCCTAGTTTGAGTTATTTTCACTCAAACACTTTTATGTAGTCATATTTTTAATAGGATTAGATTTTATCTCTTGAGATTACTCTCCTAGTTGGACTCTATTTTGATTTAAGTTAAAATATTATCTTTTCCTATTATGATTGCACGTTGAAATCATCTCCTACTTGATTGGTCTAATTAATTTGTTTAGGTAGATATTGTTTCTCCCTTAAAAGATTGGCTGTAGTGCAAGTCATTAGGTTTCCTCACATCTTGCATTAGTTGGTGTCATCACATAGCATCTAAAGTGAATCAAAACTAATGTTTGTAATTGGATAGTATATTGGTCTCATGTTTTGACTTTTTTTCACTAGAGTCCATATTGAGTTCAATTTGATAGTCATAATTATTTTGGACTCTTGTACTTCCGTTTGACTAGGGAGAGGCAGTTTTGAATAAAAGTAGAGTGCCTCTCTTTTGAGAGGTACGGCTTTTAACATTTGTGTTGAGCATATAGAGTTCTTACGAAAAAACTGTTGTGCATATCTTCGAGACAGGTCATCAAGTGTTCTTGTTTTTACTTGGTGATTTATCAAATCTTTTCATTATTCATATTGCATTCATATGCATGTTAGTGACTCATACAGTTGAGGGCACCAAGATTGTTGTGGCAGTTTTCCTCCTGCGGGCTTGAAGCAATCATGACCAATATTGTGTTCAACATAAGGAGTGTTGAAAATCAACCCGTGACAGAAGTTGAGTTACGAAGAAGTCGGTAAACATTATGTAGAATGTGTCTGTGATAAATGTGTGAGTACTTCTTGTAATCATCGTTCTATAGTGGATTTGTGTTGGACTGAGGAGTGTCGTGGATTTTCCCGAGAGGCGGGGTTTTACCACGTAAAATAATTCTCTGCGTGTTCCTTTATTTTATGTTCAGCACGTTTTAGGATTGATAAGCCATATCAATCCTGCTACCAAAGTTTATTTTTTGTTTATTGATTATAATATTAAATTGGCCTATTCACCCATCTCTAGGCTTTTTAATCATCCTACAGGTAATTTCAATTTCAATTTCAAGGAATCCCAAATACTTTTGGCTGTATCCTTGTTCAAGATTGTCTCCAAAATCGATAGATCAATTGCCTGGAAGAGATAATTCTTCGTCTTCATATCCTTCAACTTTGCGTCATCAATGACCTTTTTCTATGCTTCAGTCAGTTGAACTCCTTCTACTTCTGCAGGAATTTCATCTTCCATCGGACTCCAATATTCTTTCGAATGCAAGAAATTGTCCATGAGAATACACCAATAGTCAAAATGCCCATCAAATTTCGGAATCGCTGGTTGCACAAATCCACTTTTAATCGCCATAATCTTGTCATAAAGAACATAGAAGACTGCTGCTCTGAAAACCAATCAGGCCCCTGTGAAAAAGCTCTGAAACCAATTGTTAGAAACTCTTTGTGTATGTTTAGGAAACATAAACAAACTTGGAGAATATCGTCTTATTCAACTAAACAACTTGGTTGGCTATGTAGCCTTACAAAATCACATAAATAGATAAAATTGCAGCCCACGTTTTACAAACTTATTAACATGGTAGGAGACTAAAGATAAAACAAGCAAACAACTTATCCCTAAAGAATAGGGATTTTGCAAACCACTAAGCAACTAACTGAAGCAAATACTAACAACTAATAATTTCAACAGGGTATGGCTAGGTTTTGCAAGGAAGGAATTGATGCTGCAATTGGAGAAGAGGAGAAGACTCTCGCGAAGACGACGCTCGCTGGCTCGCTAGGATATTTGGGCAATTTTTAATTTTTCTAATTTTTAAATTGTCAAATAAAAAAGTTAATAGAGTTAACTCCCTATATGTTAGTTGACACGTGTCAGCAAATTAGAGAGGGGACATGGAGCAGACAACAAATCTCGTTGAAGGGGGAAGATTGATAAATATTTTTATGTATTCTTCTAATACCATGTATTTTATTACTTTATATTTTACTCTTTTATTTTAAAAAATTTCTATTATTTTTTTAATATATTTTATTTAATTAAATAAAATAAATAATAGGAGGCTAGAAATGAAATATCATTCTCACATCCTTTCTCCGTCACATTGTGTTGTCGGAACAAAAATATCGTATGTATCAATATGGATGGAAATATTTAGTACATGAAATAGTTATTTGCTAGATATATAAAAAGATAGATAAGATGTAACTAATAAAATAAAAATTGATCTTGTGTTTTGGAATTGGAATCAGAGAAAGATATTTAAAACGGTATGACTTGTAATAAATGTTTCTCTGTAAAGGAGGGGAATAGTAATTTATTCATTCCTAATGTATTCCTTTCCTATAGAACATCTAGGACCAAGAGGATTTAATCGAGTATATCGACAGATTCTCACGTAGTCTAAAGAAAAAAAAATCAAATTTCATCTCTATCGAATTTTAATGTCAGAATAGTGGATATAATTATGATGCAATGGGTTAGGTCCACTTACTTTTTCTTTTATTGATTTCTAATCGATTTGATTGGAAAATAGGAAAGGAATATTTTAAGATTCAAGAAGACGACTTATCCTTATTCATTATAATAGCAAATTTATAACCATACTATAATTCATTATAATGTTATAATTTTATTAAGAGTTCATGGTTCTTTTGTCACATGGTTCACAAATCTTCATTAATAGCAGTTCTATCCAAAGTTCCTATTAGATTAATCTTAATCCATTGTGTAGGAACACATATTTTCGGCAACCATTAAAAATGAGACACGTGGAAAAAGGAATATTTCTTAGGTCAATTAATTGTGCTAATTAAATCTCATTTAATTTGGCAATTATCATTAATTTAAGACAGAAGGATCTAATTTCCATAAAAAAACCACAACTCAAGGATCCAATTTCCATCAAATGTCCTTGATTTATCCTATCACCTATTTTTGGGTTAGAATAATCCTAATTAAATAGAGATTATTCTTCAAACCCTAGCCAAGCAAGGGGGTTATAAATAGATGGCATCTCGTCACACTTGAGGTAATTCTGAAACCTTAAAGAACTCTCTCTCTCCCTCACGCCACTCTCTATCTCTCCCCCCCCCCCCCCCCCCCCCCCCCTCTCCCCATGAGAGAAAACTCAATCTATTCAGTTTTTGCTGCATCTTCCGAGACCTCTTTTATTGACTTAGGCATCAGAGAGTCGTTGGCAAACACAGGTGCGCTCCATTGACCCGATTTATTAAGTGTTTTAAGTGTCCGAGTTTATATGGAATATGAAAACCCCTTAGTACCTCATAAATGCATAACCAATTTAATTCATCTCAATATTAAAGACATGAGTTTCTTCAACTTGGTTAAGTTACAATACCATGTCAATTCATAATTTTTTTTTATGGTGGAACGTACTAATTGTACAACACTAATAAAGTCCAATATGGTTTACATGCTAGGTTAGAAAGTTTGTTGTTATCAATAGTGTTTTTGTACAATAATTGGAAAAACTATTTAATTAAGTAGTTGTTGTATGTTTTGTATTCTTAAACAGTATTCTATGTTTCTAGAGATTTTATTTTAGAAAAAAAAAATTCAATACGTTATGAATTCTAACATATATGTCCCGCAATTTTATAAGTTATGACAACAACATATAACTAATCGAATCAATAAGCATCATACTTGCCTAGCTAGTCATCGACTTGCAGGAGAAGTAAAGGGGGTCACTCTCTCGCTAGCGAGGAAAGCTGAGTGAAAAGATTAGGGTTAGGTTTCCTTCCACGTTGAGCCAATGTATTCTCTCATTGTTTTGATTCCAGGATGCTGGTATCATTTCTATCTCATTGGGCATTGGTTTCCTCGAGTATCGTCTTTTTCCTTTTGGCTTCGCGATGTTGCTCATTTGCTCCAACGATATGGGGTCCATGATTAGGGTTTTGTTGCCCTACCGTCCTCACTATTGTTGTTTTTCACTGCTCCCTCTCCACCTTTTTGGCCGCACTTGGTATGTTGATTTGGGTTATTGATGTCACTCTCTTTCTTCCCTTTTTTGATATTCTGGGTAGGTTTCTCCTCTGTATGACAACTCTTCCTGGTGGTTGTCCTTGATGTGGTAACCTTGATGGGTCTTTTTCTGCCATCGCGTCGGTGGGTCGTCCTTGGCGGCTACGACATCTGTTTTTTATATATTGGTAGTTGGAGAAGCCCCTCTACCACCGTCATGTTCATGTTAAGATGGAAAGTATATGGGTTTGACAACCTTCGTAAGTTCCGTAATCTCAAGAATCTTTTTCAGGAGATGAAGCCATATATTACTGTTCTTGCTGAGACTCTAATGATTGTTGTCCAAATGGGAAGTTTGATCAGGAGACTTGGCATGGGTGGTGTGTTGTGAGTTCCTCGTAAGGGTTTATCTGGTGGTTTATGTAGAGTGGTGAGCCATTCATATGCATCCTTGGACAATATTTTAAGTTCTTCAATGCCCCTTGTAAAGTGGGGGATAGTGGTTGCATATGATGCTTCCCAAAACTTGTCTATAAAGCCTTTTGCTTTGAACTTCATGGAGTAGTTGGTAAAATGGTGTTTTACACAGAAGTTGTGGTCATAATTAGGGACCACTTGTTCAAAAGCAGGCAGTAAATCTTTTTGTTTGTCAAATATAAAGGTGAAGCCAAATTGATTAACGATCTCACAATCCTTAACCAATAGCTCCATAAACCAAATCCAAGAATCCTGGCATTCTAATTCCACAACTGCATATGCAATCACCCAGGTTTCATTGTTGGCGTCTATACCCATTGCAATTAACAGTTGCCTTGCCTAAACACTCTTCAAAAAGCACCCATCTAAACCTATAATGGGCATGCATTCAACTTTGAAGCCTTCTTTAGCAGCTCCTAAATAAACATATAACCTTTGAAACTCTGGTTGCCCTAACTGTTCTTGGAAATCACACTTAACCATTGTTATGGTTCTTGGATTAGTGCTCCTTAATTCTTCACAATAATCCCAAATTCTTGAATATTGTTCATTGAAAGTGCCCTCAATCAGCTTTAGTGCCTTATCTTTTGCCCTATACACTTGTTGTCTTGACACCCCTGTATTATAATCCTTCTCAACAGTCTTCTTGAAATAGCTGACTGGCCAATGAGGATTGGTCTTCAATGTCTCAACATATTTCTTGCTTATCCAAGTTGACTTGACAGTAAGGTTCTCCTATAACTGTGTACATGTGTGCTCACCTACATATGTCTTCACTTGCAATGTGTTCTCATGTTGCATTTTTGAATCATATATCATCCACTCACAATCTGGGTCCCCACAAACTACCTTCAACTTCAAAGCCTTATTCCTAATAAAGACAACATTCCTTTTCTGCAAGATGGAGTGTTCTTTGACAGCTGCCCTAAAGACCTTACAATTAGTAAACAACATGCCAATCTCAAACTTTGGATCTGCCATGTCAATTGTAGCATTGAACTTTAGCCAATTCTTATCACCTTCATGGTCAGAATTACACTTGGCATAATCCTTGCACTCAAAATATTCAGAATCCAATTCAACATTTGTAGGCCAATCAGGAGCAGCCTCGTTCCCAGTTTCTTTAACCCTTGTCCATTCAATTTGGTTATCCACCCAATTTTTTTTTTTTTAAAAAAACATCATCTTCATCTTCACCAATGTTCTTGGCATGCACATAATATGAGTCCTCACTATCAGCAAAATCATCATCAAAATCTTCAAAATCTGTAGCATTTGCATATCTTCTTCCACTTCTCAACTTCATAGAGTCACTTTTGGACTCGGTCCTAATGCCCTTAACAGTTCCTTCCACAGTTTTTTTGCCTTTCTGTTGAACATTATTTTTCCTCCTCAAACCCTTCCATCTTTTTCTACCAAAAGCACGCTTGACCCTATGTGACATGTCATCTGTCACTATATGTTTGCCTTTCCTTTGTCAGAATAACCCTCATTATTCATAGTGGTATTGAAAGTAGCATTTTCTTTGCCTTGTTTAGAAGCTTGATCAGTCAACCCTTCTTCATTCAACTCTTTGCCTTGTCCACTTGCTTGTTCATTAAACCCTTCTTGATTCAACTCTTCTATTACAACACTTGTTTTTTTACCTCTCCCACTTGGGATACTCCCCCACCAATTGGAACAATGACACCATAATTGTCAACAAGCTCTTCAATCACTACCCTAGTGTTGGTCCCAAAATCATCATCAAAATTTATAAATATGTTTGAAGCCACTTGACTGCAAAATTGCTCTTGACTGCATGCCAACACATGTTCTAAGAATATATTTATCAACCTAGTGTCTGGCACAAATATTAGCATGTCTAAGACATATGCATCCTCACTCAGCTTAACTAGGCCACCATCAAAATAACCACCTGGAATACTGTACCAGTAGTTAATGATATCTTTGTACCCTAACTCCTTTACCACGTCATCTATCTCAGTTATTGACATTGTATTCTTATCACAATAATCAAACCAATCAACAGACCCATTCACATAATAGTTACCTCTTAGTTTACCATTGTGGTACATTTCAATAGAAAATCCATCCTCATCCCCTACATGTCAAAAGCCACACATAAATTTTACCAAACAATACATTCACGACTGTTTACAAATACAAAAAGACACAAATCATTTTCCAAATATATAAGACAAAAATCATTTTACCAAACAAAAAGACACAAAAGCCAAACTTTCCATGCCAATACACACATACACAAAAGGAAAGCATTACTGTCATTGTAGGACCACATACAAAAGCCAAAGTTTACTTTCACATACCACCTACCATTCCATCTACCAATCAAATCAACACAGTAACAGTAAGAAACACCTAACTCAAAACTCACAATCAACATCCATTATAAAACCCTTGTTTCCAACATGCAATACACAATTACTTAAGACTCTCTGTTTGCAAGTTTCACTAAAAACACAAACTACCAAGAATCTTAGCACAGTAACCCATAAGTATCATAAAAAGGTTGTCCATATCCTTTGGGACGAAGTGCCCAACTCATATTCTTCGGATATTTCCAAAACCTCCGTTTGCAATTTGATTTTTGCACTGGATGAAGATTATTTCAAGATTTCGAAGAAACCCTCTCTCAATCTCTCTAGAAAACTCAGAAACAACCTATTTTTTCCTTTGTTTTGTTCGATTTCATTGTCCAAGCCTTGGATATTGAAACGATAGCCTTGGAAGGTGTGCCTAGCTATGGCTGCGATATCTCCTTAAATTTTTTTTAAAAAAAATGCCCTTCGTCTGGACTATTTCGACTGACTTGTTAGGTTATGTGGTGGGTCCCACGACTACCACATCATCATTTAACGTCTGACTTGACGGTTAATGTAACGGCCGATGTAAATTGGTAAGATTTTGAAATGTCAGGTATGAAATTTGATGAAATTGAAACCTTGGGGCCCATTTCAATACTGACCCTAAACCTATAGGGTAAGGGTATTTTTGGAAGGTAGTAGGGAAAAACGGAATCGGATCAACTACTCCTCCTAGTTGATTCGAGTCCTGATTTTGAGGGGATGTGATTACGGATTTTGAGGTAGGCCCACACATTTTTTTCATTCCTGATTGCAAGTAAATGCAGAAGTAGTCTGGAATGGAAATCATTCCCTTTCTTTTCATACCCATTATTGATACATAAACATGCCTTATAAGTTATGAAAATTAATAGCATACAAATTCTGGTAAAAACTATACAATAAAATAACTTTATCTTTCCAGTGTTTAGTTCACACCAATGTTATCTCCCCTTCCCTTGCGATTTGGGCTCTCTAATTCTTTGGGTTTTTTCCCAGTTTAATTACACATTTTAACCAAAAAAATAAATAAATTCCCTAGCCAAATGTTGTTGCATTAAATCGGGATGGGAGATGAAGGTGGTTGGAGGAGATGAGGTATTTTCTTTTTCTTTTTCTAATTTTTTGTTTTCCATTTTAGTTTATTAATTATTTTCTAATTTCATATTCATGTTTTTATTTGTTTTTGTGAGAATGTGTGAGGTGACAAAAAAATGTATGTACATTTAAAAAAGGGAAAATGCTAAGGAGACTAACTTTAGATACCAACTTGTGTACCATTTCTTTAATAGAGCGTGTGACCAATTGTATTTGTGGGCTTAACCTCTATTAGAGAGATTGTACATAAGTTGATATTTAAAGTTGGTCTCCTTAACATAACCTTTTAAAAAAATTGACTACCGATCCTAAATTACTTGTTTTCATATAATTTAAATTCTTAATTTACGGAAAAAAATAATAAGGGGAGTAAATTGACAATTATCACGTAGTTGAGCAGGCAAAACAGCAGTTTAACAATTTCTTAAATAGAATTTGGTACCAAAGTAAGGTTGTTCTATTTAAATCCCCAGGTCGATTTGTCGACTTTGTTCACCTCTTAATCAAAAAAGCTGGAACTTCAATGGCTCTAGAGAAGACTAGATTCGAAACCATAACCCCATCTCGTTTCATCACCTTCACTTTCCCCAACCCCTCCAACTCAACCACCCTCCTCCGCGTCGCCGTCCTCGACACACCTTTTCAACTCACCGGCTCACCCCGAGTCGCCGCCATGCTCGTCCCCAAACAACGGGAGTCCGACTGGATCTTCTCCACCGAGTCCGGTCACCTCCAGCTCCTGCTCAGCTCTCCCGGGATCGCCCGCCTAATCCTCACCGGCAACCAGCCCATCAACGGTCACCATTCACCGGCAATCTACCACCGTCCAGCTAGAAACGACTCGTCGTGTGATGGCGAACTCGGGGTGAGTTTGAAACCTCTTTTCCTTGCTTTATCTCCTAAGTCTTGCTTCAAACATGGCACTCTTGAGATACCCATTTTGAGTTATGAGGATAATGTGATTTGTAGTGTGGTTTTGGAGAGGTGTGTTGGGTCTTTGGTTGGTGAAATGGTGGTGGAAGATGTGGAGATTGAGAGTGGTGGTGAGGCTTCAAAGAGGGAGTTCAGGAGGCGTTTGAGGTTTAAAAGAATGCCCAATTTGGTTCAAACGGAGGTACGTATTGTTCCCAACATGGGTTTTGGTTTGGATTATGTGGAAATCGGAGAAGTAGAGTTTAGGCTGGATAATAGTATTTTAGTGCACCCTTATTTGGTTCCTATGGTGGCAAGTCTTCAGTTGATTGCTTCTTATATTGAGGGTCGGATTCGAAGTGGGTTTAGGCCGAAAGCTTTGTGTTTAGGAGTTGGGGGTGGAGCTTTGCTTGGATTTTTAAAAGCCGAACTGGGTTTTCAGGTTGTGGGTGTGGAGGCGGACAAGGAAGTTTTAAGAATTGCTAGGAAGTATTTTGGACTGGAAGATGGTGGCGGTGAGCATATCAATGTTTGCGTTGGAGATGCAATAAAAGTTATTGAGAAACTTGCGGGTCGAGGTAATGGACAAACTTCGGGTTCTTTTGGTGCTCATGAGATAGTGGATGATTGTGCCGTGCTCGATGGCAATGACATTGATTCTAAATTTGATGTAGTGCTAGTTGATTTAGATTCAAGTGATGCTGGAGATGGTATAATTGCTCCGCCATTTGAGTTTGTTAGGAACAATGTTCTTTTGGCTGCGAGATCAGTTCTTTGTGATAATGGGATCCTTGCTATAAATGTTATTCCTCCAAATAGATCATTTTACACAACATTGATACAGGAGTTCAGAGAAGTTTTCCACGAGTTATATGAAATCGATGTTGGAAATGGGGAAAATTTTATTCTTATTGCTCTTGTGTCCCCTGTTACATCTTCTACCAGTGATTGCGAGGATTGCTTCCTTAACAAACTAAGAATGGTTATATCAGGAGCATACATGAATTCTATAAAGAAGATCTGAGATGGGGTGCAAAGAGAAGGTGGGATGATCAACCCCTTGGGACCCAAGCAATGTTCTTGGGAACTCCTTAAGTGCTCCCTGGAGGAGAATTCCAGAATTTAGGTAAGCTTTAAAGGTAGTTTGGAAATTATGGTCCTCTTATGGGCACTAGACTGAAAGGTGAAAAAAAAAAATCTAATTACATGATACAAGTAATACTTGTAATTTCAGTCATGGACTTTATTCTTTAAAAGAAAGACTGGCTTCTGAATCTGTAGATTTAAATTAACTTATCTAGTTAATGTAGAAGCATCTTCTGCTTGCTGTTGCTTTAAGAGGAATTATGATGATAATTATGTACCGTAAGAGTGATTCAGGTATTGGCAGAAATCTTATCTTTCAATCTTTTTAAGGTAAGAGGTTGATTGGGATAGCATGCTGGAGAGGTGTTTTTCGGAAATGACAAAGCGTGTGGTGGTGGCATCGAATGTGGATGTGGTCCTGGCAAAGAGTTGGATTATGGAAAACAACGTCAACGGGATTTGTTTTCTCCTTGTCTAGTGATTACAAGGTAACTGAAGTTAACTGTTTCTCTATTTTATCTTTGTTATATTTACTCCTGTGGCACTTAGTATCGTACTTTTTCATGAGTCATTAGATTGTACGTGTATGACTTGTGAAAAAAGCTAAATTTGATAGTGTGTGTATGTCACCTGTTTGTTGGGTCAATTCAAAACCATTTTGTAAAACGAATAAAATATGTAAAGTTGGTGATGAATTCCATGGTGATCCGAGGTCCTCTAACTTTGCAAGGCCATCAACTCCTTTCATACGAATAATTGTGGTCGATGTGTTCGACGAACTTTATTTATGAGTATATCTTTTGGGCACAATTTATACATATATTTTTTCTGAGTCATGAGTTCAAGGTTTTACAAATTAGGATTATTTTACTGAGCTTGAAGGATAATGGACAAGGATGTTAATGTATATGTGTGATTAAATTGGAAACTTACATGACCTAAGAATATTTTCGAGAAAGCAGCAGTTGGCTGGGTAATAATGTAGCAACAACAAGAATATTTTGTTGAGTGAATTAAAACCTTGTCAATCATCAACGTGAAGGAATGCACTGTAAATGTCCATGCGTGCTGTATATATATTCTATGAATTATTTTCATATAAGTCCTACCTTATCGGTCCACCATTTGTCGTGGGGAGGGAACTCTTTGAATTTAGTTTTCATCTAAAGCAATTGATTTACTGCAAGTGCCACCTTTCTACAGGAATGTATATGATCTTAACATCATTTCTGTGCACGGCCTGATGGTGTGATAACTTGAAAATAACTGAAGGCTGTGTGCAACGGTCATAAAATAGTTTGGGTATTGTGTCTTAGGAGTTCTTGATACTTAAAGGTTTATTGGTGATTTCAAAGATTTCCATACGTAACCAAAAGTTTCAATGTATGTACATTGAATTTGTGCTCTTTTTATTTTATTTTATTTCTTTTAAAAGGGAATTCTGGAAGTCTGGTACTCTGCATTGATAAGTGACTTCATCAATGTCATTACAATGTAGAAAGTAAGGCCAAATAAATTTTAAAGGTTGAATAACTTTGGTTGATATCTCGTGGCTATTTAAGTTCGGAAATTTTGGTGGCCAGTCAACTTAGTTTTCCAATATTTGGCGTAAGATTTTTTTGTTAATAGCATATCCAAAGTTAGTAAAATTCCAACTTACATTGCTTATGCACTATATTTATAACAGTCTTAGAGATGGTTTAATTCAGCTAATGTTGGTAGCCAATTAGACGAAGAAAGAATGGAAACTTAGGAGATACTTGGGTTTGTGTTTTGGCTACACGACCATATTAGAATAAAGGGTTTGGACATTTTCTCTATAATTTTTTATTTGTTACTACAGTTAAATAAAGACCTCCTTTTGTTAACTGTGACATTTCAGTTCTTTGATGTTGTACTTTCTCAGAGTTTTTCCCATGTGCGACACAAGGTCTGTGCCTCAATGTATACTCACCTTAATCCTTAAATAATAATTGTATATCACCAAATTAATCTTTCCTTACCTTTTCTTTCAGTGTTTTCTCCGAATCAGTAATTTTTAGTCTTGTTTTCTCCAGTCTCCCAGTGTGGAAGGGTAACCAGGGAAACCCTCTGTCATTCAATGAGAAAACTTGGATCGATAGTGATGGTACCACTTTGCAAGTTCGCTAGTTGAACCCAGTTGGAGATCATAATTTGGTCAGAAGCCCTTGAACCATTGAACTTACATATTGAAGCAAAGGATAAGAGGCACACCTTCATGCAAGGTAGAGAACTGTGATATTAAGACTTGGAAGAAAATTCACTGGTTGCCTTTCTAGTTGTTATTTATTTGCTCATATCAATTGGTGTAACTTGCATCTTAAAATCGATTTCTTGCTTTTTAGAAAGTTTCTGATGTTTCATCCTTCCAACCCCATTACCTCCCGACATTATTTCTGATGCAGAATGCATATTATTAGTTTTCCTTATTCTACTTGGATTAGTTTTCCTATTATTAGTTCTCCTAACTCTTAAAGGTTCCTTCTTGGTAAAGGATTTCTTATTAGCTAATTTGCTTTCCTATTTCTTAAAGATTCCTTCTTGTTAAAGGATCTCGTATTAGTTAATTTACTTTCCTATTTCTTAAAGTTTACTTTTCCTTTTCCTAGGCTAAAAGGGGTTTTGTCTTTATAAATAGAGCTGTTTGTAATCTTTTAAGGCAGACTTGATGAATGATAAATTTTCTTACTTTAAACTCTCTGATTCCTTCCCTTTCCCTTCGTCTTTTGGATCTCTAATTCTTCTCTTCGATCCCTTAATTCTTCCCTGCTATATTGCTCTAGTGTTTACTCAAAACCTACAGGCTGTTGACTCTAAACCCACGGGCTGTTCTACATCAATTGGTAATCAGAGCCTTCCCTCACTTTCGTTTGTGTCTGCTCTCTACCATGGCACCCTAAACCGTGGCCAGCCTTGCGGAACAATTTCATGCGTTCCGAGACAGTTTCTGACGATATCGCAGGCATGGACACCCAACTCTCCAAACTCAGCGTTGACTTCAAAGACGAGTTGGTCTAGGCTCAACACACATCGTGCTGACCTCAAAGACGAGTTGGTACAAGCTCACACACATCATGTGCAGACGGACCTTGCCATCACCAAACTCCAAGACTCCGTTCAGTTGCTTATCACTCACTTTCGGGATGGACATGCTGAACCTTCTACCTCCGCGGTGCTCTCGAGTTCATCTACGCCAACACCAAAAAGTGGCCTTCTGCCCAATCCACCGATGGATCGTAAACTCAAAGCCGTGCCATACGGCATGTTGCATGGCTCCACTGGGCTCTCGCTTGATGCGCCCAAGGCTCAGTTGGACCCCCTTCTTTCTTCTGGGTCTCTACCATCGCCCCATTATACCCAACACACAACGAGCCCTCCTTTCGTGACTACTCAGGCTCATACCTTGCCACCCGTTCCACATGATCACGCCATTCATCACCATTTTGACAACGATGTCATCCGCCACATCAAGTCTACCGCTCCTACTTTTGATGGTCGTGAGGATCCTACGATGTTTCTTGATTAGGTTCAAGCCATGGAAGATTACTTGGCCTGGTACGACTTGACGAATGCTCACAAACTTTGCATTGGTAAGATGACGCTACAAAGAGAAGCTAGATAATATTGGAATTCCGTGGAACAACTACTATACCAATTTGGACAACCACCTGTGACTCTCTGGGACGAGATGAAATTAAAGCTTCGCGAACAATATCTTCCCACCTTTTATCGCCATCAATTGTATGACCAATTATGGACCCTTTCACAAGGTAGTTTGACCGTTACTGAATTCTATGCTTGTTTTGTCGAACACAAGATACGTGCGGGGATTCGTGAAGAACCCGACATCACTGTCTCGCTTTATCCATGGTCTTTGTGATAATATCAAACGTGAAGTCCGGCGGTTTTGTCCGCATACTTTGGAAGATGCATATTGCCACGCATTGGAAGCTGAAACTTTTTTGCGTCCACAACGTAAATATACAGGGCATCTTGGGCACTCTTCCACTCCTACTCCAAACCGTAGTACTCCTAGCTCTAAATATGGCGTTTCTGGCCCACCTGCTCCTACGATACCCGTAAGAGAAAAAGGACCAGTCCAAACCACGGCTGCTCACATTGAATGCTATCGTTGCCATGCTAAGGGCCACATTGCCTCTCGTTGTCCCCACAGAACTTTAACCCTTGGCTCCCTCAATGAGGACTCTTGTGTGGACAAATATGTGGAGGCCCTTGAACCTGTTTATGATCCAGAACTTGATAATTGTTATGAGGAGGAGGCGTTTCACCAACTGAGTGTTATGCGTTGTATTTATTCAGCACTTACATCTCCACCTCTTGATTCATGGAAGCGCACAAGTATCTTTCAAACCTATGTCCCTTGCAGTACCAATAGATGCCAACTAGTTATTGATGGGGGAAGTACGTTGAATGTTATCTCTAAAACTGCTGTCGATCGCCTTCAACTTCATGCCGAGCCACACCCTCATCCTTTTCATGTTGGCTGGGTAGATAAAACCAAGTTACCTGTTATCGAAAGATGTCTTGTTTCTCTTCAATTGGGTACTTGTCACGAGCAAATTTATTGTGATATCTTACCCATGAGTGTCGTACATGTGCTACTAAAGCCTTCCAATCCGGCCATCAAACCAACTAAGGATGTTTAACAAACACTATCACCTAAAGAGAAGGCTTCTGAGCATCGGTTGAGTATTTTATCACCTGTAGACTTTGCTCATGAACTGCAAGACACTGGCGTGGTCTTTGCTGTCTTGCTTAAACTGGCATCTGACTGCACCCCCACTTCACTTGTCGAACCCATACAACAACTCCTCACTAAATTCTCTGATGTCATACCTGATGACTTACCAGATGACCTACCTCCAGCAAGAGAGATTCAGCATGCCATTGACCTTGTTCCTGGTTCGCAAATTCCTAATCTTCCCTATTATCGTATGAATCCACCTGAACGAGCGGAGTTGAATCGACAAATTCAGGGGTTGCTGGCTAAGGGCTTTATTCGTCATAGTTTAAGTCCTTGTGCTGTTCCAGTTCTCCTTACCCCCAAAAAAGATGGCTCCTGGCGAATGTGTGTGGATAGTCGCGCCGTAAATAAAATTACAGTTAAGTATCGTTTCCCCATACCACGACTTGAGGATATGTTGGATGATTTGGCTAGTTCCCAATGGTTTTCTAAGATAGATCTTCGCAGTGGCTACCATCAGATCCGCATTCGGGAAGGAGATGAATGGAAAACCGAGTTTAAAACCCCTGATGGCTTATATGAGTGGCTTGTTATGCCCTTTGGCATGTCAAATGCACCCAGCACGTTCATGAGGGTGATGACTCATGTGTTACGACCTTATATTGGTAAATTTCTGGTAGTTTATTTTGATGACATACTTATCTACAGCCGCTCTCAAGAGGAACATCTCCAACATCTTAGGACGATATTCCTTACTTTACGAAAGGAAAAATTGTTTTCCAACTTAAAAAAATGTTCGTTTCTTTAACCGCAAGTTTTATTCTTGGGGTTCAATATTTCTGCAGCTGGGGTTAGCACAGATCCTGCCAAGGTGGAGGCTATTACTAGTTGGCCAACACCCACGACTCTAACAGAGGCACGCAGTTTTCATGGTCTCGCCTCTTTTTATCAACGATTTATTCCAGGGTTCAGTACTATTATGGCACTAATAACTGATTGTATGAAACAATGTGCTTTTCTTTGGACCCTTGCGGCTGCCAAGGCCTTTACAATTTTGAAGCAGAAGATGACTCAAGCGCCTGTTCTTCGACATCTTGGTTTGTCTAAAGTCTTTGAAGTCGCATGTGACACTTCCGGAGTTGGGATTGGTGGTGTGCTTAGCCAAGAAGGACATCCCGTAGCATACTTTAGTGAGAAACTTAATGAAGCAAAGCAGCGTTATTCTATTTATGATAAGGAGTTTTATGTTGGGGTACAAGCACTTCGGTATTGGCAATATTACCTACTACCGAACAAATTTGTGTTGTATTCAGATCAACCTTTGAAATATCTGCACTCTCAACGCACCATTAGCAGTCGACATGTTAAATGGTCCGAATATCTCGAAATCTTTACATTTGTTTTACGACACAGTCCAGGCATTGACAATAAGCCAGCCGATGCCCTCAGTCGCGTGGCTACTATTTTGCACACAATGACAGTTCAGGTAATCGGGTTTGATCTTATTAAGACTGAGTATTCGTCTTGTCCAGATTTTGGGATTATTTTTTATGAAGTTTCCAATGGTAACCGTCGCGAATATGTGGACTTTATTACGAGGGATGGGTTCTTATTTCGAGGAACACAGTTATGTATTCCCCGTACATCTCTTCGTGAATTCCTTGTTTGGGAACTACATGGTGGCGGTCTCGTAGGACATTTTGGCAAAGACAAGACTATTGCCTTGGTGGAAGATCGTTTCTATTGGCCGCCGTTAAAACGTGATGTTGCTCATCTCATTTCCCAATGCCGTACATGCTAGCTAGCTAAAGCTTGCAAACGTAACACAGGTTTATATACCCCTCTACCGATACCTCATGCCTCATGGAATGATCTTAGTATGGATTTCGTGCTTCGCTTACCTAAAACTAATCGCGGCTATGACTCTATCTTTGTCGTAGTTGATCGTTTCTCTAAAATGGCACATTTTCTGGCTTGTGCTAAAAATACTGATGCTTCTTATGTGGCCAAGTTATTCTTTAAGGAAGTAGTCCGTTTGCATGGCCTCCCCATCTCCATTGTTTCTTATTGCGACGTTAAATTTGTTAGTTATTTTTGGAAGACTTTGTGAAAGCTCTTCGGTACTACTTTGAAGTTTTCTTCTGCTTTCCATCCCCAAACAGATGGTCAAACTGAGGTGGTTAATCGTAGTCTTGGTGATTTACTCCGCTGTTTAGTTGGGGATAAACCTGGTAATTGGGATCTCTTGTTGCCTGTGGCTGAGTTTGCTTATAACAACTCAGTTAATCGAAGTACCGGTAAGAGTCCTTTTGAGGTTGTTCATGGGTTTTCTCCTCGATCACTTGTTGATTTAGTTGCTTTTGTTGTGGCTGCCCGCGCATCAGATTCTGCTACGTCTTGCTGAACATATTAGGCAACTGCATGATGATGTCCGTAGGCAGATATCCATGCACAGCGACACTTATAAACTGGCAGCCAATGTTCATCGTCGTCAACAGGAGTTTCAGGAAAGGGATTTTGTTATGGTGCGTATTTGTCCTGAGCGTTTTCCTAAGCAATCTTTTAAGAAGCTTCATGCTCGTTCGATGGGTCCTTATCGTATCATTAGGAAGCTTGGGTCCAGCGCTTACTTGATTGAGTCGCCTGCAGATATGCATATAAGTCCCATTTTCAATGTTTCTGATTTAACTCCTTATCGGGGAACCTTTTCTCCACCTATTTCTA